AGACATCAAACTGCCTAACTATAGCTATAATCACGAAGGGGAATATTTCGTTAGGAGTTACTCCCACTTGTTCAGAGTCCCATTATCCTAACATAAGCTAGTCATGAGTTTTCGTCGACGTGTTTCCATCATTTTTATGGATGACCAACATCTTGGAGATATTTCTCTTCATTGTTCCCTTATATGGGAGGTATTCTCGGGGTTCTCCTTAAGTGACTGCAGTAATATACTGGTGCTTACCTTTGCTGGCCTTTTTATCCTAGTGACTGTTCTCTACTTCAGCAGTTTTAGAGAGATATTTTCCTTTGATAGACTCCTCCCTTTTTCTTATTCCCCCTTTCACGTGCTCATTCAGAAGGCATTTCTTGATCAACCCTTCAATGGTATTCTTCAACTGGATGCAGTTATCTGTGTTGTGGTTGTGCCCTTTATGAAAGTGGAGGTATTTTGACTTGTCAATCTGGGACAACTCTCTGATAGGAAAAAGGGGGTATGACTCCTCCTTTATGGAATTTTTTGTTGGCACAATCTTGATATATCTTCTCCCAAAATGCATTCAGTGGTGTGTATTTATCATACCGTCCCTGGATTACTCAATCAGACTCATCCTTTCGCTAGTGGGACTCCTTCCTGGTTGAGAAACTAGCGTTGGTATCGGTGGAAGAAGGATTATTGAACTGTGCATTCAATTTTTCTTCCAACATCGTGTAAGACTGATCCATGCTCAACATTTCCTGAGTGGTTTATACTATTTTACTTCCCTCTACTTTAATAACAACTTATGTAAATTGGTCGATATAAGACCACAAACTCTCCTTCTTTCCTTAGATGTCCCACTCAAAACAACTTCAATTAGAGGTTGCCTTTTTTGGACGGTAAAGTGTACGAAGAACCATTGATATAAATTCTTGTTTGATTCAATAATCTGTGTGGCTGATCATTGAACCATAACATTGTTGGACCAACCAGGATTAATGCAAACATCTTTCATTTGGAGGCTTTATCAGTACTGAAGTATTTCAGTCAATCGTTTGGATCTCCATTTCCTTTGAACTCGCCCATCTTAGGATGCTTCTCCATGGATATTGGTGTTTTTCTATCCAAAATTCTAGAGCACATAGGGTTCTTCTATTGATTCTTCGATGGTTGATTTTCTGCCTGATCCGTGAGAGAAGTGTGCCTATCTCGATCTCCCTTGGTGCTTTGAGGAAGAACTTTTATGCTTGTTGCTCCTCTGATGATTCTTTGACTTAGGAGATTCATATTTCTTTGTCGTGGTCAGCTTGAAGATGGTGGTTTGAGTTCTACTTAATATAGCCTCTTGAACGGTGTTCCCTCGTGGAGGCACATTTAGAGGCTTTATTTGACGTGAAAAAACCTTTCTTCTATAGCTTGCAAATTATGTAGCCAAACGATGTTGTACATGTTCTTCAGCAACTCGTTGGTTACTTGAAACCCACTAAAACCTCATTTGAGAGATAATATATAAAGGAGATGAGAAGATATGCAGATTACCAACACTCGACAATGTCGTTGCCGCACAAATAAAGCCTCTTGCACAACAAAAGCATAATGGTCATACTAGATTTGTGGGTATTAGGTGTATGTCTGATTAGATTCACTGATAGTGGAAGATTGTTTGTGTAAGCCCTATAGGCCAATAGTTTTATTAGAACTTGAAAATTGTATTGAATTATTTATTAATAATAAAAAAAGAATTTCTTTATGTTTGTTTTTCCAAAATAATAAAGTTCCTAGAATAGCTAGTTTGTTTAATGAAATGTTAAATGTGACTTAATCATGAGATCCCATTAAACATAAGGATAATATTCTTAAGGTATCCATAGTCAAACTTTATTGTGAAGTTGGATAACATTAAAGCATTGGGACTAACATATGGATAAAATGATGATCACATCTCATGGATCATGGATAAAGAGTTATCAAATCTTCACAGAGGTATGAATAATATTTATACTAAATTGATTCGTTGTGAGAATACTACATAGAATATTGTGTAAAGTGTCCTAAGTTATTCTCATAGTGATAGTGGTGTATACCACCCTTCGACTTGAAATCACTATGGACCTTAGATGTGGAGTCGAGTACTTTATTGTTAATCAAACATTGTTCGTAACTGGATGACCATAAAGCATGTTAAGGGATATGAGTGACCTAGATGGAATATTTCCATCATGCGCAATAGGATAAATGTTTAAGGGCACAATATTGAACTGGACAAGGGTGACACGGTCTATGTCTTGTGTTTAATATAGACATAATATCAAAAGGTTAATTATACACACAAACATTATCATAGAGAGGTTTTTTCATATCACATGACATTTTTGAGACTTGGGTAGGAATGATGTGTTGGTAGATGTCGTTCACTATTCATTATATTAAATGTCTGATTAAATATAGTTGTCAATGTCATGAGAACTTACAGGGTCACACACATAAAGATAAATTGATGAGAGATAGAATAAATAAGGAACATATTAAGGTACAATCTACTTGAAAGAATTATGGAACACCGTAAGGTGTAGTGTATTTAAGTGGGATATGAAATACCGTATAATAATAATAATAATAATAATAATAATAATAATAATAATAATAATAATAATAATAATTACTATTATTATTATAGTTATTAAATATAATAATATTAATATGTTTTTTATTATAATAATAATTATAATATTATTATTTTACTATTATACATATGGTGACTTATGTTTGGTGTTTTTAGCTTATTGGCCACACGAGTGACTCTATAAATAGAACTCGTGTGTAGAATCTTTTACACTTGATAAAATTAGATTTGTAAAACATCGTCGTAATATATCTCTCTATCTATCTATCTCTCTCTTTCTCTCTCTCTCTCTTTCTATCTCTCTCTCTCTGACACACACACACACACAATTTTTACTCATAGCAGCTAGCACAAAGATTGAAGGCACTCTGCTTGTGTGGACTGAGTAGAGGCGTTGATCATCATTCATCGCTTGTGATCACACGTTTCATTGTACATCAAAGGTTTTAATCGCCACGAGAGATAATTGTTTCTATCATTGATCATGCTCATCCGTAAGGATCTACTTAAGGGGAATTTTGGTTTTTTGTTGTGTATTGTATTGTGATTTCCCTTCAGTCATTAACCTAGAGTTTAGAATTCATATGTATTTGACTATTTAGTTCATTGAACCATCTGCAATTCAACTATAACAGATAAACAATTTCAAGCAAAACCACAAAAGTTTTTTTTGGCATAATTAGTCACTAGGTCCCTTAACTTTGAGCGAAGTTTCGCTTTGATCCCTGAACTAAAAAACGTTACGGGATGATCCTTTAATTTAAGTTCCGTTAAGCTCTTTGGTCCCTTTCGTTAGTTTGTGTCAAAAAAACATTAGTTTATGTGAGGTGGCATGCTAAGTAAGCCAATTTAGGATTCCACATCAGCATATGTATATGTTGCTTTACATAGGGTTCCATATTTCACTCTTGCTACTTCATTCTTCTTCCATCATTCTTCTTCATCCGTGTTCCATATTTCAACCTATTCCATCTTCATCTTCAATTCAAGGTTAAATCCATTTCTTCCAATTTCCTTCTACTATCTTCCATTTTCTTCTGCAATCTAGGAATTATGGTTCAAGCAATGTCAAAGAGTGCAAGCAATGCCTCAACTTCAAACAACCATAGCAATGGCACATCTGGATCTTTGATTCGTAGAAACAATAGGATCGAGTGCTTTTGCCAAGATGAAAGTGTTCTTAGAATAGTGAATGATGTGAACAGTGTCAACAAGGGGAGAAAATTCTGAGGTTGTAGAAATTACAGAAACCACATTGAAAAGGTTTGTAATTTCTTCAAGTGGATGGGTGATGAGTTTCTTGATGAAAGGGATTTGAAGCTTGAAAGAAAAAAAGAAGAAAATTAACAGATTGAAGAATGAATTTATGTACACTCGAGGGTGGATCAAAATGTCCATTGTTGTTGGGATTGTAAACTTAGGGTTGAACCTTGTGTTTGTAACAATGTATCTCAATTAGTTTTAAGGTAGTTTTAAGTTATGTTTTTATGTTTGTAATCTACTGTTATGTTGTAACAAATTGATGAGTTTGTTTAATGAATAATGTATTGTTATGTTGTTTCAATGAATAATGTATGTGTTTTTTTTCCACATTTTCATTGAATAATGTCTCAATTTCCAACCTGTAAAATATGCATAACCAATGACCAATATTTGTGGAAACAAACTGTAATATAACTTGTTCAAACATTTTTAATACATAACAGGTTCGTTGAATAATGTCTCAATATCCAACCTATAAAGTATGCAGCCTAATGATCAATATTTGTGGAAATAAAATGTAACATGTTTGTTTCATAACAGGTTCAATAAAATGTTGATACATAACAGGTTCGATAACATGTTTGATACATAACAGGTTCAAAACATGTTTCAAAGTTTGATACATAACAGGTTCAATAACCATTCCAACATTCATTAACAAATTCAATATTTGATACACAACGGGTTCAATAAAACAAGGCCATTATAAGGCAATACATTGTTTAATAAAACAAGGCCATTCAAATACCAAAAGGCCATTGTAAGGCAAAACCAAAAGGCCATTATAAGGTAATACATAACAGGTTCAAATACCAAAAGACCATTGTAAGGCACTACATAACAGGTTCAAAACCAAAAGGCCATTATAAGGCAATACATAACATGCATTACAAGGTCATTAACAAAAACAAAAGAGTCAGGCCATTAATTGACATTACAAAGTCCTAGTAAACATAATAATATTGGTCATGGTTGGCTTGAAACAGGCTTGCCACCCTTATGAAGATTTTTTCTTAGTTTTGGGTGGTGGCTGACTTGTAACAACATGTGGTGGTGGTTGACTTGTAATAGATTATGGTGGTGGCTGACTTGTAACAACAGATGGTGGTGGTTGACTTGTAATAGATTGTGGTGGTGGCTAACTTGTTGCAACAGGTGGTAGTGGTTGACTTGTAATAGATTGTGATGATGGTTGACTTGTTGCAACAGGTGGTGATTGACTTGTATTAGCTTCTGATGGTTGCTGACTTGTTGGATCTTGTACCTGACTTGAACTAGCTTGTGGTTGTGGTAGTTTACAAGTGGCCTTGTTATGACCATCTTTGTGGCAACGACTAAACTTTATACCATGTCTTTCCCTCTTCATGTGTGTCTCATCCCTCACCATCTCTCCATCTTTCCTATTCCTTTTTTTCTTTGGCCTTACAGGCTGCCTCTTTATTGGTGGTGGCTGGAGATCAACAAGACTAGTCTTTGACCACAAGGCTTCCCCATTAAGTGAATATATCACATGTTTATAATAAGCAGCATATTTTTCCTTCTTGTAACAGTCAGGTACAAAGTCATCAATCTCCAAATGTTGATATTTCATGCAAGACATTGCATGATAACAAGGAAGTCCAATCAGCATCCATAATCTACATGGGCATTCTTTCTTGTTAAGGTTGACAGCATATTTTTCTCCATTGAGTGAAGTATGCCTCACCTCATACTCATATTCACCTGCACTCCTGTAAAATAAGTAACCATTAATAATGATAGTCAATGTAAATAGTTAGCCATTTGAAAATAATGTTACCTCACAATCCAATGATTGGTTTTTTGTGACTCCCTTTCCATCCTCTTCTTGATGTTAGGTAGTATGATGTCATCGTATTTGGTGATCTTTTTCCTATTAGATTCCCATCTCTGCGTTATGTATACTCTAATTTCTTCCAGCATTGTCACAATGAGCTTGGATCTAGCAGCCACAAATACAGAATCGGAGGCCTCTGACATATTGTTAACCAAAGTGTCACAACATGAACTTGGCTAGAACCTTGATTTGGTCCAGAATCTTGGTGAAATTTTGATGATGTGTTTGAAGGCCTCTTAATTAACTCCTTTTATTTCAAGCATTATTTTCTCCCAAGCATTAACATAACTTGCACATGTAGCCCTCCACGTCAACTCCTTCAATTTTAGGCCAGGGAACTTTTTCCTGAAGTTACTATACAAATGTATGAAATATAAAGTAAGTGTAAACATTACCAAGTATGTCATATTCAATATGTAAGTTACTAAACCAAGTATGTCATATTCAATATGTAAGTTACAAAGGTGAGAGTGAACATTACCTAACACAGAATCTCTGGTCAATATTGCCAAATAATTCATCGAGAGTTAGCAGCAAACCCTGGATCCATAAATAAGTGAGAATGATGGTGAAAATAAAACAATTGGCTAACACTTACATTTCAAGGTGAGAGTTTAAAACCTAACCTTTTATTGATCACTAATGAAGGTATATGTTTTACACAACCTAACTCCTCCCAAATCAGGTATCGATAACTCTAGAAACCAGCTCCATGAATCTTTAGTTTCACCCTCAACAACAGCATATGCAATTGGAAGCACTTGGTCATTTGGGTCCCTACCAATAGCAGCTAGTATTTGTAATCCATAGTATCCCTTTAAGAAACAACCATCTAATCCTATAATAGTTCTACATTTGAAAAAATTTTCCTTGCAAGCTTTGAGACAAACAAACATCCTTTGAAAATGAGGATTCAATTTAGTAGAGTTTTCACTGTTTTCCCCTTGAACTAGTGGCTGACTTATAATCTTCACAGTTGTTCCTGGGTTTGCCCTCAATAGTTCATGGCCATAATCATGAATTCTTCTAAACTGATCTCTAAAAGAACCATCCATAATATAAATAGCTTGTGTTTTAGCTCTATATGCCAATGTCTTGTTAATCCCAACATTCCACTTTTTATGTGTCTTCTCCACAATATCAGTCAACTTCAAAGTTGTATTATCTCTAACACTTGTTTGAATCTTCTTGCCCAACCATTTTGAATTGAGGAACCTAATCTTATAATCCTTACTACAAGTATGCTTGTCCATAATTATCCTCAATTGCCAAGTCTCCTAACTTTTAATATTTGCACAGTAAGCCTCTCATGGGCAACCTGCCTTACATTTAACTCTCATTCTTACCTTATCATCTTTTGTGAATTTCAAGTTCCTTCCTAAATGAATGGCATATGTTCTTATTGCCTCTTGAAACACCCCCTTTGTAGAAAAAAATGTACCAAGTTCCCATTTGTAGTCTTCCATTCTTTTTGGAAGCTTAAAGGTTACAAAATCATCCTTTACAACCTCATCATTCTCATTGTCATACTCAGTAGGAAATTTACCACTATCACACTCCTCTATGTCACCTAAACCTCTCAAATTGTCCAGATTTACCTCACCATCATTATCTTCACCTACATCCCTAACAATGACATTTTCCTTTCCTTTCCCCTTCCCTTTCCCATTCCCTTTACCTTTACCTTTCCTTTTCCCTTTACCTTTCCCCTTACCTTTCCCTTTCCTTTTCCCCTTACCTTTCCCCTTACCTTTCCCATAGTTTTCCCATTGCCTTTTCCCTTCAACTTACTTGTTACATTCACTTCATCCTTATCAATTTCTATCTCTCCATCAATACCTATGTCATTCTCCAAGTCTTCAAAATTAACATTCAAAGCACTGTCATCACTTCCATATTCTTCGTTACAACTAACTACCTCATCTTGTTCTTGGTTACAGTTTAGTCCTTTGATTTCATCCCCTCCAGCATTCATCCCTACATCCATATTCTCCTCCATTTCACAAGTGGTCCCCATATCATCCATATTGTTACAGTTTGTCTCCTCTTGACCAACATTCATCTCAGTTTCAAAGTTGGTCCCCACATCACCCACATTTTCCTCAACTCCAACATTATCTTCAATCCCAACATTCTTCTCAACTTCATTAACTTTGCACCCTCTTCCACCACATCTTCTCCCAGTGTGGTCCCACATTCATTACTTCCCCCTTCATATACTTCACCCACCACATCCTTAGCCACTGTGGTCCCATCCTGATTATTAACCATATCAGTCCCTTCACCACACATATTTTCATCCAATATGCTCACATGTGGTAGTGATAGTATGGGCTCCTCAATAACATCAGGTTCAGATACAAGATGTGTAATATACAAGTGGAATTCCCTAGTTAACACTGCAATGGTTCTCATCTTATCAGTCCCCTTATCATTTTCTAACTGAACTATATCATTATCAACCATATCATCATAATACCAAAGCCTATCTATAGTAGGGTAACCTAACTTTCTTAACTTGTCCAATATTTCAAAGTTATTCCAATAATCAAGATCAACATCCCATATCTCCTATAACCCTACATAACCTGACTTAGTAAAATTTGTAAACTCCCTAGAAAATAGACTAGAATGATGAACAACACACTTAAACCTAATCTCCATGACCTAATTAACCTACATATAGTATCAGAAGTACTAAGCAAGTTAGGTAAAAATGAAATTTAACATTTTTTGAATTGTATTTGTGCAAGTCCATACCTTAGGGTTTTCTGTCCAGACGAAGTTCTTGTTCTTCGTTCTTCTGCAATGAACTCTGTCTTCAAAGAAGTGTTGTTGTCGTGCCTTAGGGTTTTCTTATTTTTGTAAACATCACTATCTGAACTTTGTCTTCAAACAAGTGTTGTCGTAAACGTTGTCTTCAATGAACTTTGTCTTCAAACTAGTGTTCTTCTTTATAATGTAGTTGTTGTCTGAACCTGAGCTTTCATCCAACAATGTCTACATGCCCTAACACGTTTAATCTCCTTAAAATGAATGTTATGTGTAATACAAAATCCACCTCATCCATTAAAATAATTATAGAATATCCACCTAAGCCATTTAAAGTCCAACATTATAATTTCTAATGTTTTCCCAACCCAAACTAATAGAAAGGACTACTATACGTAACAGAGTATAAGTTAGTGGACCATAATGTAACGTTTTTTTCTTAAGGGACCAAAGTGAAACAAACATTAGAGTTAAGGGACTAAAATAGGTATTAAGCCTTTTTTTTTTCAATTTTTTTTCCAAACGGTACTCATGTGTTTAAAAATTAATCGTGTTGATGTTAAAGAAATAATTGAAAATAAATCGTAAAGTAAATGTCACATATTTTTGAGAGCTTTGCTTGTATCATTCATCCCCTTAGAAAAAATTTGGCCTATCCTTAGGCTATCATCGTGTGAAAATGGGGATTTGAATGAGAACTATACATCTAGGACCTGAATTTTTTTTCTTAGCGACAATAACATTTTGCTAGGCAAGCTTTCTTAGTTAAACTTTCTCTAAGCAAGGAGATGTTCTCGCCTAGTGAAATATGTAAACAATGGTCAAAATCTATTTCTTCGTGTTTAAGTTCAGAAAACAAAATTTGCATAGAAGAAATTTAAAGCATAAAAATTGGGCTGCCTTCTAATACGCGCTTATTTAATGTCATTAACTCAACGTCTACGTCAAGGTTCCTTAATATATATTTTTTCCTTCTCACCATTCTCTCTTATGAATTTAAGATAGGAAGGCAAATGCTCCAAGGCTTCGTTGAATGATGTATTTTATGTAGTATTTTAAGAATTTCTACATACGGGTGGTTTTCCTCCCATGTTCTTTGGTCCTTTGTTTCTGCCTTTTAAATTAAATCTTCCTCCAACTCTTTTTCTTTAACTTCTTTACCACTCTTTCCTTTTTTTGAGTTAAAAATAACTTTCTTTTTTCCTTTTTTCCTTTTCACTCACATTGTTATGTTTATTTGAGTTAGTTTTAGTGTTGGCATTGATTTATTAATTATATAGGTGCTTTTCCAATTAATCAACTTGCATCTTGAGGATTGCAACATCTATTTTCTTAAATATTTGATTAATTTTCTAGTGAAACAGTTTCAACAATAGAGTTTTAAGTGTGTAGGCTAATGGCTATAAACCAAAATATGCACAAATATAAACAAAATACTTAAAATGATAAAAACTATTGCAATGTCTTTAAAAACTAATGACGCTCCCTAACAATGATACCATTTTAATGTAGTGCAGATAAAAAAGTGAAGTTTTATCCTCTCTATAGAGATTGGTTGTGTTTTAAAGACCATTAAATAGTTTATATGGTTTTAAGAATGTTTTATCAATTGGTTGAGTGTTTGTGAATAATGAAATGTAAAATAATAGAAAATAAAATGAACTTTGGTGTTTAAAAGTTGAGAAAATTTGTTAAGGTTAAATTTCATTAGCTTATTATCATGCAATATCCTTAACCAATAATATGCAATTCTAATCCGCTATTAATATTACCTCTCGAAGCTCTCATTGCATCAAATGTCTGAGTCAACGACGTGAGATCAGACATATTACCTAATAGATGATCTCTCAGCCTATTAATCAATATGTAACCATTAAGTTTCAAGAGTTAATATAGATATTGTATCTAAATCTATGTCTAGACTTTAGCATATCAAATAGAAAAAGATTGGGATCTAGTAGTGACCAATATCTTTTGAATATCAAGTCATGCCATTAAAAAATGTTTGGCTTAATTGCAACTATGGTCCCCCTATTTTGTATGTTTTTGGGTTTTGGTCCCCCCCCCCCCCCATTTTAAAAACCACGATTCTGGTCCCTTTTTTAAGTTTTGAGTTTGATTTTAGTCCCCTCTCCAATTTTAAATTTTTTTTAATGATGTGGCACTATCTAAGATAACATGTCTAATGCTAGGTCATTTTTAAAAAAAATTAATTTAAGACTTTTTTTATTAACTAGGATAATTAACTTATTAATATTATTTTAATTAATTAATTTTTATAATTAATTAATTAATTAAAAATTTAAATGAAACTCTTTGGGCCTTTAGTTATTGGCCCATGTCTTTGGTCATTCTTTCTAACCCACAATTG